ATATTTACTTTTATTCTTTACTTCATCGTCAATACTAACGTTCGTTGTCAAGCTTTGCAGGTGATGTTAGTGACAACAATATCTCCATGACAGTCCAAGTTACCGAATCGTTACAACTTTTTGATAACAATTGAAAACGTCATCAACAAACTTAAATTTTTTTGAGTTTCTCAAGGAGGGTAATAGTGTTTGTAATTTTCATGTGAATGAATTAAGTTATTTACCTCGATAATTTTGTTGTTTAAAGAAAGAATCATAGTCGCGACATGTATATACGTCTTTAGTACGTTTGTCGCGCACTAATTTAGTCATACGTGTTAGACATTGTCACAGTTAAATATTCTATTTGTTGGGTATCCAGCCCAAAAGTGGATTATTTGTTTTGATTGGCCAATAAAAGAATTTAGCATATAGTTTTGTTGGGCAATCCACCCCATTAGTGGATGGTATATTTATTTTTCCATTTCAGGTTCATATTTTTGAATTATATTGGAACATTATCAAACATCCACCTCGTTACAGTTGGAACGTTATCAACCATCTACTTCATTACATATAAAATATTATCGAGCATCCACCTCGTTACAGTTGGAACATTATTGAGCATCCACCTCGTTATAGATGGAATATTATCGAGCATCCAACTCTTTACAAATGGAATATTATCGAGCATCCACCTCGTTACAGATGGAATATTATCGAGCATCCACCTCTTTAGAGATGGAATATTATCGAGTCATCCACCTCATTACAGATGGAATATTATTGAGCATCCACCTCGTTCCAATTGAATATTATCGAGCATCCACATCGTTACAGTTGGAATATTATCGAGCATCCACCTCATTACAGTTTCAATATTATCGAGTATTCACCTCGTTATCAATGGCTATTATCGACCATTACCTTGTTACAGTCGAAATATTATCGAGCCATCCACCTCATTAAAGTTGAAATATTATCAAGCCTCCACCTCGTTACTGATGGAATATTATCAAGCACCCACTTTGTTAGAGATGGCATATTATTGAGAATTCAAATCGTTACAGATGGAATATTATCGAGCACCCACCTCATTATAGATTGAATATTGTTGAGCACCAACCTCATTACAGTTGGAATATTATCGAGCATCCACCTTCTTATAGTCGGAATATTATCCAGTCATCGACCTAGTTACAGTTGGATAATCATTGAGCCATATAACTCGTTGCAGAGATCTCCGAAAATTGTCATGCAGAAAACAAGTCATGCCATCTCCAATCCTCAGCAAATTATGAGTTGTAATGGACATACTATGTTCAAAAACGGTATCATTTATCTTTCATTTTCATTATTTATTTATTTACTCATTTAATTGAAAATGATGTTTATGCTTATACATTAAGATATACTCATTTTCTATATGAATGACCTTTCTTAATTACTTCACTCAAACCTCTAGTTGAAGCGGCATTGTGTCTACTAATTATTTACTTTGAGGGTGCAAACATATGTTGAACATACTTATATGACATCTTTCACATCAAGAGTAACTGAAAAGCATCATGCGGATGACATAAAAAAGGTGTAGCACAATGTGGAAATTTTTCTTTAGCACTTAACAAGGACATAGTCCAATGAGGAGTGTCAAACTCTTAGGACGCAAGCAGAGGATCGACTTCCACCAAAATCAAACCACACCTTATCATAAGGCATGTGGGTTTTTCTTTACATCCCTCGATTTGAGTTTTTCATCTAGAAATTTCGATTTTTACCAGACGCAGCTTTTCAATCAAAGTGAAAATACACCAAGAGCTTTGGGAATTATGTCCTTGTATGTTCTTACTTGTGGATTTGAAGATATCCACCTTTATGTCTAAGAGGTTGCAAGCCTTTTTTTTTCATACTCGATTTATTTGTCACTTGTCCAGAACCAATTATCTAGCATAATAGATTATCTTTTCAACCGATCGGGTCGAACTACAAGCACCCTGATTCCCTAAGGTCTAAGGATATGTAGCCGGACTCAATCTTGAAAACTTAACTGTATTCCAACATTCACTCTTTAATCCTATTCCCGAGCATTTAGGTACCTTTACTATTCGGTATCGATATTTGAGTTCTCTCAAAATCATGCGTTAAATGAAGCGTGTTGAACTACAAGTGGGCCTAAATTCTTATATTGCCTCAGAAATATAGGAAACCCGTCTCTGGTGTTCGTCCATAATTCTTAAAGTCGGTACAAAATCCTTTTCTTATAGACGAATATGTGGTCGATCAAAATTGGCTTTGTCAATTTCAATTTCCTCAAATTTCTTGCATCAAACCAGGTAAAATGAGGGGCATTTGTTGACACCCAATTTTAAACCTCCCTGATAAGAATAAACTAATGAGTTTCTTATTTCTAAACGATTTTAAATAATTATATGTTTTATAATCTAAAATGTTTTTTAAGTTATTTTAAATTAAATATTATCACTCTTTATTTATTTTTTAGATAATATACATGATTTACATAATTAAGTGTATGATTAGAATATTTCTCAATCACCAAAAAAAATTAATTTTCAGTAGGCGTTTTATTAAATTAGTTTTTTTTAAATTATGATAAAAGTTTAGAGTTATATGATTCATTAAAATATTTATTTTATTTTGTTAAGCTTAAGAAACTCATTAATTAATTTCATTTATTCGTCTTGGTCAAATTTACGCAATTCGGCTAAATTTTTAATTTTGATTGGCTACGATGAAAATTCTTGGGCCATCTTGTACAATCAATTTCAGCTTGTCTTTTCCCAACTCCCACAACCCCTCTTTTTTGGGAAATTTTAATACCCAAATTTGGGCCTTCCCTTTAACATTTGTATCCCAATACCAAAAACGTCATCCCAATTCCTAATTCCCCAGTCCACTCCATTATTCCCCCAACGCGACCCATTACATTTAACCAAACGATTCCAATGGCGTCAATTCCAGTGTTAATATAGACTGAAAGCAAGTATTTTCACACGTCTTTTTCCTCTTACTTCCCCCAGTATATTTTTATACGAAGAACACTACGAGACGACATAATCTCGTGCATCCGATCATCCTTATTCGAAATCAAGCGCTTATATCGTTGTTCCATTGATGAAATGTACAATTTTGTAAAAATTCCCAGCTGTCCAACCTAATATCTAATGGGATTTCAAATTTTGAATTTGGGAATGGTCCTTATATTCCCCCATTTTCCAAAAAAGGTATATAATCCCGCTTTTCCTATCGTCTTTTCCTTAGTCTGGGTTTTCGTTTGATTTGTTTAGTCGGTTGTATTTTCATAAAAGTTTAGAAAGAATAAAGATAACTTGTAGGATAAAGACTTTGGTCTTTCATGTGTAACGATGATTCCAATGTGTCTGTATAGGTGCTCGAAGGCTGGTTCCCGATTATGGTTCCTTCTATCAACTTGGTTTTCATAGCGTTGTTATGATCAGTTTTGAAATTGCCTCGTGAGTCTTGGTTCGCATCTGTTTTGTTATGCATCTGCCTGAATAATCAATGCTGGAGCGCATGTTGTTCATTCCTTGCAATAAATTTATTGTGTGATTTCGGATTTGCGACTTGTTTAAAGTTTAAGGGTAAGTGATTTGGCTAAGTATAGTAGTCAGTAGCATTTTTGTCCCAATAGCTTAATTTCATGTTTTCCTTAAAATTTCCATGTGGTCTTACTCCCTAATGTTACTCGAGTAATTAAGTTTTTTGCCAGCACGTTGTTCGAATTTCAATCAAAAAATGCCTATATTTGCAATTTGAGTTGGCTAAAGTCTGAGTTTCTTATTTTATTTTCCCAATCTTAATTTCGTGAGAGTTTAGTGCTTAAGGTCATTTGAAGCATCATTTATTTGGTGTTAATCCATCGTGGGTATGGTATAATGATTTCCCTAACTTCCCGTAATCTAGTTATGTCACATAGTGACTTTTGTTTGTATACAAGGAAGCTAGTTCATGCTAATTTATTTTGTTGTAATGTGTGGAAAATTAGATCATGTCATGTTGGTTTCTCATAATGTGCAGTAAGAGGTCTCATAAAGTAATGTTATTAAATTTTAGTGGCTTCTACATATTGAATGCGGGCATCAGCTAATTTGATTACTGTTAAGTGCATAGATGGACAACAATTTTTTTTAATTCAGCTTGTTAGTATGTTTTAATGTGGTTATAAATTTTTATGAATTTTCATTACGTTGATAAAAAAAAAGTTGTCAATTTAGATACTATTTTGGAGTCCTCAGATTGTATTTATTACTATCCATTTTGAGTCCTCACTCTCTCTTTTTTATTGCATAATATACTGCTTTTCCCTATTAATCCCCCACGTTTTATGCCTATAGTGTCTTTTCTCACTTTCAAGTGTTTGATCATGATGTTTGTGTGTTGCTATGTTGGTGTCAACTTATAGTGACTTGTTTCCTGACAGAAGAACAATTTTCGTTCATCTTGATTTTCATTACGATTTGGGTATCATTGTTCTATAGTATGGTCCTCTAATGCCCTTGTGTCTTTTGGTATTTTTGCCTGTAGTATCCGCAAATGACCTACACTTTGTTATTATATGTTCCCAGGTAGCTTAACTATGCTTAGCTCTAGCTACTTCTCTCAGTAATTAAATTTTAAAAGTACACAATGTTGACACCCAATTTATACCCACACCAGTAGAAATCAATTCATGAGCTTCTTTAATTCTCGAACAATTTAAAATAATTATTTTTATAAATTTTAAGAAAAAAACATAAAGATTGCGTCATTTTTTGAATAGTTTTGTCATTTTCTTATATATATATATATATATATATATTATGTATACGATTAAGATATTTTATGTTTATTCGAAAATCTTTTTAAAAGATTTTACTTTGTTAACTATTTTAGTTATATAATAGGTTTTTTTTAATTAATTGAGTCGATTATTTGATTTCGTTATAATAGAAGGATTATTAATTTGTCTATTGTTGTTGCGTATTATTATTAGTAAAATATTTTAACCCATAAGTACAAAAGTGTTGGGCCCTTTTTGAATTCCTTCAGCCTGATTCCTTTTTATTTTCTCGAGAAAACCCACTCCCCATATCCGACCCAAACCCCTTTTATAACAAAAAAAATCCATTCCAGTAAGGAATAACAATAACAAATGCATGCCAACATCGTCTGATATTCTTCTTCTTCCAAAACAGTGATGAAACCTAGAAAAAATTGAAGCCCAGTCCAGCAGAAACCCCAAATCCCGATCCATCCAAAATGTGTCGACCCCAATCCTCCAACTTCCGTGAGTAGACGGGAGTTACACGATGCTATACTGAGAATAAATTTTAACACGTCTTATTCTTTCTAGTACAGTTTCTTGGACGGACGTCTGCAATTCTAGCGGCCATGAAGCACGCGTTTTCGTCTATTGTGGCTAAAGATTCAGCCACATTACTCACCCAGTACAATGGGTCGATCTCGTCCTTCTAGCTTGCTTGAAATATATTCGAAATCATTTGGAATCGGAAGAATATTAGATTTTCGGATAAGATTTTGGATTTTGAATGGGTCTGGGGAAAGTCCATATTTTATCCATCTTTTTCCCAAAACCAAAGACCTAATTTGTCGATATATAAGGCCTCTTCCTGTTCTTGAAAGGGAATTTTTTTTGGAGATGGAGATTTGTAAAAACATTGAGTGAGAGTTTCGATACTAATCTTCTTCTTTCTTTTCTGGGATTTTTACTGGAACAAAGGTTTGTCTTTGGTTAAAAAGAAACAGTGGAAAAACACATACCGAATATAAAGAACAAAAGAAGAAGCAAGTTAGGAAATTTTTTCAGTAAGGCTCAATGAATCAAAACAAAAATAGTAGCTATATATAAACATTTAGCAAGTAGGCTTTTTGAAGACATATAAATTGGGAACGAAACATCAAATCCTGTTTTGATTCTTCTCCGTTCATAAATGCTCTCGGAGTTGCACTTCGGTAGTGGTGAAGTCGTGGTCTACTCTACTTGTCTCATCCCTGTTTCGCTGCCACAAAGAAGGTAATAACCTCACTCTCACTCTGTTTTGTTTGTTTTGTTGATGAATGACAGCTCCATCCCTTTTAAATACTACATTTTATTCATGACTATCAAGCTTAGGATATTTGTTATACTTTGTAATCTGTGTTGAGCATGTCTTGATTTCTCGAATTCTATTTTAGTTGGTGCATTTTTCTTTCGTCTTCTGCTGGTGTTATTTATATATATATATATAGAGAGAGAGAGAGATGCATATATGGTTGGTTCTTCAAATTTTCTCCATGTTTGGAAGTTAATATAGTACTTTCATACCTTTCCTTTATTATTATCATGGCTTTCATTTCTTCCTATTTATTTTTCTCGTAAGAATTGGTTAACCTACTCTTGTTGAAGTTCACCTCGAAAGTGCATCTAAAAATTGTAAAACCCTGTATCATTATTTGGTATTATCGTTTAATGAGAAATCGTAAACTTGTTTAGTGCTTAGAAATTATGTGCTGGTGAGACTTATTTGTTCAAGCTGATAGTTTATTAGTGTACTCTCAAGTAATATAAAGTTTATGGTTAGAATGTATGTAGCTTCCACTTTGATTTTGATTCTGCTATTTGAGTCTAATGACTTTTATGATTTCGAATAAAATGGATTTGCCTCACTCCGTGTTATTCCTATTTATTGATCAATGTGATTATCTTTGCTGTGTTTGTCCTCTTTAATTTGTTGCTTATTCTTGAATAATCATTTTTTACATGATGCTGGGTTAGAATAGTTTTTTTAGTGTCCTTTCAATTCATGATATTGATTAGTGTAGTATATAGGCTATTATTATAATATATGTGACCAGTACTCTATCTCCCTCTCTCTTTCTTTTATTGTTTTTTTATTATATTTGTTTTTTCCATCTTATTTTTATTTTATTGATGGTTTTGCATATTTCTTTTTACCCTGCCATCTGTAGACATGCATGGAAGACATATTAATGTAGTTGGGCATGGTAGACATTTATATGGATATATTTGTTTACTCTTAATTAAATTTTCTCGTTATTCAGTATGCTTCTGTGATTCCCCTGGGCGGAATCGTGTGTTAGCATGCATCTTGCTGTGTCAAAATAACATATTTTGGGGGTTAATAAAAAAAATTTCTCTCCTTGCATTTTGTAAGTTGGATTATATACTAATTCTCTTCATCTACTTTATAGCATGTAAAATTTGCTTTAGTTCTCCACGAACTCTCCCTTTTCACATTTCGAGAGACCCATCAAGGCTCAAAATTCATTATCGAGTTAACAAGCCATGAAATCGACGAACAAGCCCTAAATTGAAGAATATGGAGTCAATTAAAGAGTTGAAGAAAATTGGGTCATTCGTACCCAAATTTTATTTTTCCCTTAAAATTTGTATTTTGTTGTTGTTGGGCCTAAGCGCATTTATTTATTTACTTAATGTATTCTTAGAATTTAGGACAGGTACAAGTGAAGTGGGTCAAAGACCCAAAATAAATGGGTGAAAAAATTCGAAAACAGGTGGGTCCAAAATCTGATCCAGGCGGACAGAACCCGGGTTCGGACCTAAAATCTCTCTCTTTCTCTCTCTCTCGTCTTATTACTGATCTATTTTTTTGGTCGTTAGTTTAAAGTTATAAAACTCCAAATACCCGTAGAATGTCATAACGTTTTAGTAAATTAAAATTAAACTAAGTTTGAAAAGATATTTTTCAATTTATAAGTGTCGCTTAGATAAACAACGAAGAAACACACTTTCAAACAATTTCCAATAAATTTTATAAGTTAGTTATTTTAGCCAAATGAGTTAGTTGTCGGATAACCGCAAGTTAGAGGACGTCGTAGGTGTTTTCAAAACCTTCCTAAGACGTTCATAGGAATCCCCGAACCCATTTAAAGTTTTGAAAATAATTTTTCTGTTTAAGTCTTTGAAAACTATGTTTTTCTTGTTTTTTTTCAAAATTAAGTGGTGACTCTAAAAAGTCAAAACTTTACAAAATATAAAATATTTTTTCTTTTTTGATAAAACACATAGAAATGATGTTGATCGATTATCTCTCTAGTTGTTATTTATAACCCCTTTCATCCTCAGTCCCCTTTGTCATGTTATTCTATTGCAATTTCTTTTAGTTTATGATTTTTGTCAATCCTTAGTTTTGGGTAAATATGTAGTTTGTTATTATAAATTTGTGGTCGCTTAGGCTCACTGTAACAAGTGCTCTTAGCTTAGTTGCTCCATTCTTGTCATCTTGCATGGGTACTATTATTGATCACAATTCTTTAGATGCATTTTGTGCTCTATTTATTTATTTATTTATTTTTAAAAAAAAGTTTGTCTATCGATATGCCCATCCATGTTTCTTTTAAATAGGACTATGTGTCAGCTTACTCTTTTTTCCCGAACTAATGCATATTTTCCAGTAAGTTAACTTGTTTTCCTATGCTACGATAGTTAAATTATTTATTAACTTTTTCCCTTTATTTATGTTGCATGTAAATGAAATCGAGTTCACTATGAATTCTTATCTTCCTCTCAATTCCTAGAGAGAGCCGCCAAGGCTCAAATTCCTCCATCGAGTCATGCTCACAAAATCGACTTACCAACCGAGAAGTTGCGAGAAGCCCAATTTTTTTTTCTGAACTTTGTATTTTGTTATTTTTGGGCCTAAACCCTTGTTTCTTTTATCATTATTGTACTGTTAGAATTTTAGTACACATGGAAATGGACCAAGGCCCAAAACAAAGTGGGTTCAAATACCGGTCCAGGCGGACAAAAATCAGATTTGGATTCAAGTCTCTCTCTCTCTCTCTCTCACACACACACATACACGCACTCTCTCTCTCTCTCTCTCTTACTTATTTGTTATTAATTGATGTTAGTTTTAGGGTTAAAAAAGTTCAAAATCCCCCGCAAGACACCACTTTTTTTTAGCGATTTAATAAATCAAAATAAATGAACTAAAAATAAATCTTACAAAATCTCAATTAGATAATAAAATTAACACTTTATTTTTAGAACAACTCTAAATAATTTTTATCTCAAAATCTTAAGTTAGGCACTTTAGCCAAACAAGTTAGTTATATGAAAACCGTATTAACGGATAATTTAGATGTCTTAAACACCTCCCTAAAAAAATATAAATATGAATCGCCGAACCCTTTTTAAAAATCTTTCAATTCGATTTCCTATTTTAGTCGATTGGAAGAATAGTTTTCTTAATTTCTCTTTAAAATTAGGTGGTGAATCTAACATGTTTTAAAACAATAAAAAATATTTTTTTTCTTTCCGAAATAAAACAATGATCAACAATATCATGTGAGTCATTCGAATCATGAGCCACCATGGCTGATAAGGAGCTCTGTGCCGCCTTCTTAGCAAGGCCATCCTCTTCAAGAGGCATCAAACGGGCCTGATAAAATTGTGGTAGAGGATCACGTTGGCGAATGTGAGTGTCCACACCTTTGTAGGGTTTGGTTAGGCCAGAGACCAGTTGAAGAACTATTCTATTGTTGTCGACGGAAGAGCCTAGATTCTTTAGTTGGTACGACAAATATTTGAGGTCTTGACAATAGGAAGATATACCTGAGTCTTCCATGTTCACATGAGTGAAATCATACTCAAGGGTGATGGCACAAGAGTGTTTGTTATCTTGGAATATGTTACGCAATCTATTCCATGTTTCCATAGTAGTGGTGTTTGGCTCAAGAATCGTATGTAGAAGACCATGAGATATAGTGGCGTAGATCCACTGTAAAATGGTTGCATCAAGAGTAGACCAAAACTCTTTCTCCTCATCTATTTTCGGCACTTTCTCCTTGCCCTTTGGCGAAGGAATAATATGGTCAAGAACTTGATGGGATCGTGCTTGAATCTTAAATAGTTTCTCCCATGTTGAATATTGGGCGTTCTCCATCTCAAGAATGATGAAACATGGTTCTTGATGTTGGATACAACAAGAGTGGGGTAAAAGGAAGATTTTGAGTCCTATATGATGAGGATAGAAGAGAGACGAAGAAGAAGAGAGGGCGGACGATGGTGATTGAAGAGAAAACGGAAGTATTTTCCCCTAGAAATCTTATACCATGAAAGATTTTAATCCTCTTCCATATTCACTATTCATTGATGTCAATGTTTTATATACAATCAATACAAGACTATAATTAAGGAAAATAAATATACACCTAGCTATAAGTAGGAACTAAATATACACTTAACAAGGGTAATAAATCAGAATATATTCATCATATATTCTAACAGTGTTGTGGTTTTTGAAGGTATATTTGAATGCTGGTTCTTTAGGTTACTGAAGGTTGTTTGGGTGGCTGTTTTTGGTTGTTTTATTTTCAGGCAGAAAAAGTAAGGAATGGAGGTTGAATCACTCTGGGTTTTGGATGGTAGATAGAAATTTTGGTAAAGAGTGTTTCGCTGGGGAAGAAACGTTAACAGTGTTTGAATGGTTGTTTCTGTTGTACCAGAAGACTGAAAATGGTGGTAGCTTTGATTGTTTACTAGCAAAATTCTGGCGGAGCATCGATGATCTTGTCACCAAAAAATTATAAACACTAAAGAAATATCTAAAGATTAAAAAACCATTAAATTATACTCATTCTCTTATCCAGCACAACTAACTTTATGACCAAGAAATAACATGAATTAAAAATCCAAAAACCACTTATAATGCAATACTATTTTCTTAATACCGTTGGCCAAACCTCTAGTTAATAAATATGTGTATACGAAATTTTATCCACATTTGAATTAAAATCTAGACTACGCAATCATTGTTTAGTAATATTTGTAATAGCATAAGTTCGTCAACATAAATCTTGAATTCATAATAGAGAATGTCATATCACCTACTAAAAAATTAATTGTATGATGCCTTAATGATCATGGAACAGGTTACAAACCTACTAAGCTTTTGAATTTCTCAAAGAAATACAAATTCTCAATCAAATAAAGAAATTTAATCACACCAAGCATAAATTTGAGGAATGTTTAGCAAAGTAATGGGAAACTGGTGGACTTCTGTAATATGTATAAACTTGCTAATGACCCTCGTGCTCCAATAGAGTTGTCATGTCCCAAGTTACACCCTTGACGCGAATGGCACTCAAGAATCATTGATTGCCCCCAAGCAAATCCTCATCCTAGTTGATTACAAGCGGAATACTAACTTAAAATTTTCAAAACTTTAACTCAAAGGGAGAACTTAGAATAAAAATAATATATTCAAATCACCGTAAAATAGGCAACTTCAGTCTTTAGAACATTTGAAAAAATAAATTAATAATACAAACTTATCAACTAAAATGACTATCTATGAAGCCTCGAACTGATAAAGATGGATGCCGGAACAAGACCCACGACATCCTGACTAAAGTTAAAAGTAAATTAAATCCTCTTGAAATAAGAAGGCTCACCATAGCTAATTCGAACTCTCGAGTTTATAAACGAATCTCATGTTGATTATACTGAATACCAGTGTCTACATCATGAAAAGATGCATGCCAAATGTCTTAGTACGTGGAACTGTACGAGCATGTAACGGAAATTTTAAAACATAACATAAGCTTGAAAATTGAAAAAATAAACATACTGAGCTATTTTAAAACTTACTCAACTCAAGGAATACTCAAAACTATTCAAACTTACTCAACTCAGAAGTTTTAAAGGATAACATGCTCAACAAAAAGATATGATACTCGACTCTGACTCTAGATACTCGACTCTACATAAATAAATAATACACATTCAATAAATGGAAAACTTTTAAAACAGTAGAAAACAACTTCAATGCATTTAAGAATACAATATACTAAGTTTGTAGATATAAAAATACAATATAAATTTTTGGGAGTTCTCTAACTGACAGCCACCACTTTGAGCCTACGTGATGATAAAACGTCTTGCCCACGCTGCTCTTATACTTTGTCTTCATATAGAACACTTAATTTAGTGGATCCACTAGCTTATATAAAAGCATCTTAAGGAGTCATCTAAAAAGTATGATCCTTTATTAACCAAGATAGATACATGATTTATAGAGACTTGAGTTCATATGAACTCGCATCCCCATATATGTGCTCAATGCTACTTCAAAAATATATTTAGCTCATAAGTTTTTATCCAAACTACTTTCTCTTGTTTGAGATAATTGCTAAAACTACCCTCTTCAAAGAGGTATCTTCTCTTGAAAACACTTTCTCAAAACATATAAAATTTTTATTTAAATATGATCATTGATGACTCAGAAATTCATACTGCATAAACATTGATTGTATATCTAGATACAATACTACTTGAACATTAATGACATACTCGATTGTCATACTAACCATGATTTTAGAAACTCTTCTCACAACTCATCTATTCTATAAGATATAGTGCTCAAACTACTCAAATTTTTTTTTGAAAATATCAGTTTCATCTCCTGTTAAATGTATAAACATTTACTCTTGGGGATACTTTGTTCTAATACATATTGTCAAAGAAAATGAAGTTTACTCTTAATCATTACTCAACTTGAAAGCTTAAGTCTTAAAACAAATTTAAAACGTCTGTAAAAGACTCCTTGAAATATAGTTCATGTAAAATTATGGACGTGAAAGACTCAATGCAAGGTTTTCAATAACCATAGATAGAACTCAATATTCAAGAGTTAAAACTTGAAGATACTACTCCTCTCAAAGGTACTCAACTAATGGAGTTCATACGGATGTTTTGGACATGAACGACTCGACTCAACGGTCAAAAATATTAATAAGGAACTCATGTATACGAATCTTATCATTTGCATCCT